TGACCTGCCACGCGCCCCGTCACAATGCCGTCTCTTTGAAACGGACATTATGGGGAAAAGTGGAATTGTGGAGAGAGATGACTCTTACTCTGGGATAAATGCAATCGTTTTTACTGAATGCATTTTTCCACACACACATCACTCTAGAACTAGAGTTTACAAACGTAAACCACCGTTCTCCTGCGGAGGTCCCTGAACGCACCGCGGCCACTCTTACGAGGGCCGCGCCCACGTATTAACGCTGTATTTCCCATTCAACGGGTGAAATGCATTAATCGGAGCTATTATACCAGGCAAGGTGTGTTTTCTGACAACAGCACACCGGCAATAGCGTCTCTTGAACCCGCACAGTGCTTTGACAGCACTCGGTTTATTCCACTCACGTGCACACGCCCACCTGCTGGCTCCCTATACTGGGGTTTACAACAGGGGGCGGGGAGTGTAGGACAGTGTTCCTTCCTCTGGGGATGGGCAAGAAGCAGCCACGCTGCGATTACTCCTTATCCCGTGAGCAAGGAGATCGATCCAAAGAGCCCTTCCGTAAACACGGGGGCTCCCAGGAGATCAACACGGTCCTCTTTGGAAAGTGCCATGCGGCGTGATCCCCCAGGGACATCACACGGCAGGCAGCGGCGGCGGCCTGTGATGAAGTAGGGTCGACCCTATATCATGTGAAGCCACCAAGCGCCGGTCCCCGGGGGAACCGGGCCTGGGGCAAGGCCCGTGGACCAAGCTACTTATTCGGCCTTGCGGCCCAATAATCGCTCTGACTTGGTGAGGCGGGGGCATCTCTAGCAATGAGCGAGTAGCCCACACACCCGCCGCCATGATCATCATCCAGGGAGAGTACAGCCCTGGGCGGTGGACTTCCATGGAAGCCGGAACCGGAAGGAATGGCGAACGTGAATGGCACCGCCTCGGCCATATCCTGGTCCCCCAAACACTCGAAGCAGAGGTGGTGGGGATCGGCGCCCGCTATTTAAGCCAGGGCACGAAGGACAGGCCCGGGTCTCTAGCAGTGGCGATTCCCTGGAGGTATGATAACTCTTTCTTCTTCTTTCAAACGTCTTATCTCTGCTTCAGTTGTTGCCCGCTGTCACTACCCGATCCGCTTCCCTACCCGATCCGCATTGCGCATGTGCGAGATGGTCCGCCATATTTGACAACTACATACGGCAACTCAAATAGGACACTTGACACAATATGTATGGCATTCATAATTTATATCTAATTACATTAACTGTGAATGTCCTTAATTTTATTTCAAATAAAATAAAATAACATAAAAGATGTTTGTATAGACATTTGAGACGTTTATGACTCTCGCATGCACAATGCAAATCGGGCAGCCGTCTAGACGTCAAATGTCCTATTTGAGTTGCCGTATGGAGTTGTCCAACATGGCGGACCATCTCGCACATGCGCAATGCGGATCGGGTAGGGATGCGGATCGGGTAGTGACAGCGGATCGGGTAGGGAAGCAGATCGGAGACACCTGCTCGCTGAAGAGAAAGGGATGATAGTCAGGAGGCGAGGCCTCCTTTTATACGGTGAGATGCGCGCGCATTCAGGTAGGCCCGCCCCAAGGTCGGCTACGTCTATATAGAAATCTCAGTAGGTGAATGCTTGCATAGAGGGTAGTACCCATAGAGTCCAGTAGAGGGCGGAGCCTGTGAGAGATATAACATCATTTAAGTCTGAAAAGGAAGCCAAGAGTGAATTTCAATTTCTTTGTTAGAACTTCAATATGGTGTTTGAAGTTCAGATTACTGTCCAACCAAAAGCCCAGATATTTGTAGGTATCGACAAACTCAACAGAGACGCCATCAAGGGTGTCAATGGAGAAGCAAGAGGACGCTGACTTGGGAGCAAAAAGCATTGCTTTGGTTTTCTTACTGTTCAATAGCAGTTTGGAATTAAGAAGTGCATGCTGCAGCGTGATAAAATCTGATTTTAAATTGGAAATAGCCATATCCAGAGAAGGAGCACATGAATATACAATAGTGTCATCATCAGCACATATGATAGGTAGAAAATTGCATCTGATTACAAATATTGTTTACATATAATAAAAAGAGCAAGGGCCCCAAAATAGAGCCCTGTGGAACTCCCTTCTCCAAGGTGACAGGGTCAGAGACAGTACTACCCAACCTGACGCATTGAGTACGGTCGGTTAGATAACTCTGAAACCAGCAAATGGCATTATGACCGAAACGAGACACCAACATAACATTATACATAATGTGGTGATCTACAGTGTCAAATGCTTTGGCTAGGTCAATAAACAATGCAACACAAACTGATTTTTTATCCAAAGCAGCCTTAATATCGTCGAAGACTTTCAGAATGGCAGCCACAGTGTGCTTTGATCTGAATCCAGATATGCATAGGGTTAAGGATGTTGTGTGAATTAAAAAAAAGTTTTAGCTGAGTAGAAACTAGGGACTCAAGAATCTTTGATAACACAGAAAGATTTGAGATAGGACGATAGTTATTCAACTCATCACCAGCTTTCAAGAGGGGTGATACCAGAGCTTGCTTCCACACAGCTGGCAGTGTGTGAGTGGACAGGGAGAGATTACAAATATCAGTTACTGGTTGTGCTATAATCTGAGCTGCAATTTTTTAAAAGAACGGGTCGAGGCCGTCAGGCCCGGCAGACTTTTTAGGATCAATTGAGTGCAAACCCTGTAAGACTTCAGAGACCGAGAAATAAGCTAAATCAAAAACAGGGGAGTTCATCTCTTGACTAGGGCTGTGAGTACGACCATTAGAGAGTCATGACTTTGCTCATCAAAAATGTGACCAGCCTTTTTGAAGTGAGCATTGAAAGCATTAGAATCTGAAATAAAAGAATCACTGACCTTCAGTTTTTGTGGGAAACTAGAAACCTTCTTTTTCTGAAGTGATTTAATTGTTTTACAGAATTTCGAATGGTCATTAAAACAATCAGTGGTTAAGCTCAGATAGTAATCAGCTTTAGCTTTTTTAATAAGGGCTGAACATTTATTTCTGAGGACACGAAGAAGAAGCCAGCCATCACTAGTGTTAGACTTTCTAGCTAAGGACCATTGCTTATTTCGATCATGAATGAGATCAGATAGTTCTCTAGTAAACCATGGAGTGTTCCTATTCTTAACTCTGAATTTTCTAAGGGGGGCATGTCTATTAATAATCGATAAAAAGTGATCAATAAAAAATTGGACGGCAACATCGACAGATGGAATTAACGCTATGAAGTGCCATTTAACCTCCGCCAGATCGTGTAGGAAAGCCTGCTCAGAGAAGTGTTTGAAGAGGCGCCTGAGCACAATAAGGCCCATGGCTTTGGGCAACTTAGTGCTCCTAACGCAAGCAATAGTGCAATGGTCACTAATATCATTAGGAAAAACACCAACAGACACATACTTATGAGCTGCATTTGTTAGAATGACATCTATAAGGGTATCGTTATTGGGTTTGGCAGGGTTTATTCTAGTGGGACTATCAATAAACTGGGTTAAGTTCAAAGAATCACAAACCTGCTTAAACTGTGAAGATGTATCACTCAACCAGTCCCAAATTTAATGGATAAATGATTCTGAGTTTGTCCATTGTTTAGTCTTGGAAAATAGTTTAGTCTAGCAAGACCCAGACAGATACCCAACCCCTTTTTAAGTCCTGTTACATTCTGTTTCTATGGTTTTCTGATTGGTGTTTGTTCACATTTTGTTGTTGAGTAAAAGTGAAATTAGTCAAAAATGAATCAGTACCGTTTTTGATAAGTTGTCATTCAAGAGCGTTTTTGAAAGTGTGCATATCAAAATCTCAAATCATGTTTTGGTCTTTACTCAAAAATCTAGAAATGAAAGACAAGTTACTGTAACGTAGAAATAACATAGAATTGTTTGATCATCAGAAATACAAAATATAAAAGTGCAATGTCCATTCATTCGAAATAGCAACACTGTCAATATAAAAAAAATGTTTAGAAAGATTATTCAATATCTAAAGTATTCACACAGAACATTGAGCACTCAACCAAGTATATCAGTAATTTATTATAGGGGATGAATGCTTGTAAAATATTTGGCTTTATTTTAAATTGCATTTTTTATGTGGACCACAAGAGGGCAGCAGACACCACTCAATAGCATGTGATGGCTTGCCAGTTCAGCAGAAAGAACAAGTTTCATTTAGTCAGTGCTGTGACCATGAAGACATGCTTTTACAATCTGTCAGGGGAGGAAAACAATGCATTATGAAACAAAAAGGAATCAAATATACAAACAAACAAAACCACGGTCACTGAGGCAAACAGAACCCAATGTCAGGAAGAGTCATGCTGTGAGGCGGCTCCTGAGCTGGGCTCCCCTACCGAAGCTCACTGCTATGGGGAGAGAGAGTCACACACATCAGCCTGGTTAGCCTGGAGGAAGAAACACACAGTTAAAGTCCATGTGCAAGGCCACAATGACAAGAGCCGCAGGCTGGTACACTGTGCACAAAGGACAATGTTAGCCACAACAGCCAGTTTGTTTGCAGAGCGGTTGCAGGTCAGCTAAGTAGAAAATGTACATTTGACAAAACACATGAGAAAACTAAATGTCACCCTGTCTTTATTCATTTCATGTGGAAACACAGTGGTGGAGACACAAAGAAATGTGTCTGCCATAGGCCATCACAGTGGCCATGATTAGAATGTGATGATATAGTCGTGGCTCTGCCTGCGTCTGTATGAAAACATGCCTGCTGAAAGACACAATGTAGTGTTTACAGTGTGATCGACAAGTGGTTGTTGTGCACTGAATTACAGTGGCAAATCTCCTCTGTGTGTTTTTTAATGGGTTTTGTATGTTTGTGTATTGTGACACATACAGTCCTTGTCATTTAGCCATTGTTACACTAAAGAAAGAAGCCTGGGCATTCAAGACTGAATACAGAAATGTCTTGCAAATGTGGCTTTTTATATAAAATGTTGAATCTACTGCCAACTTAAAATAAATTAAATGTACATGGGCTGGTGTAGGTTGTTTCTTTATTATTCATTTCTGAATTTCGACAACAAAACGTATTTCTAATCCTCTCTGTAAACCATAATGTATCATGTCTGGTGAACATGCATGTTAGCGCAGCACACAATGGTTTGGCAATAACCTGCTTGACATTCAGACTGTCACACACAAAGAAATGTAAGGAACCAAGAATATTTACAAAGAAAACATTTTTAGAGCAATATCTTCTTCAGCTATTTGTTTCATTGCTTAATCTGTTGGAATTATAATCAGTTTTATTTATTGGAAACACTGAAATATAATCAAGTTAAGTATGTAAAATGTATTGGTGTTAAGTTGACTGAGGTGTACAAGTACAAAATATAAGTACTTTATTACAAAATATCCATATCTTTGTGCTTATTTGACAGCTACATCAATCAACAATTCTAAATCTCCCCTGGTGGGGCCTTTAAAAGCAAACAGGTGAACATTAACACACACTGTATATTTATGGGGCATTGGATTGCTCGCTCTCATAAATAATTGCTTGTTTGTGTTTTTCAACCCTCAATAAAATCTTCAGGCTCTATTGGCTGCCTCTATTGTTCAATTTTTGATAACAACAATCAAAACAACATTCGGTTGGTGAAGATCAATAGCCCACTCCACTCTGCCGCCATCACAAATGCGATAAAGAGAATAGCTGGAGTGAAGATGCATTCCAACTCAGATCATCAATACGGTTCATGATCTTTGAGAAAAGCATTGTTCCAGGAGCAATGGTTAATGGCGTTGTTTTCTTCCCACATCGTCACAATGTCCATTTTCGGGCCCGAGCACATACACACAACACAGCAACACACACCTGGCCTGCAGCTGTGTGTTGTAGGGTCCCTCTCCTATTAACCAGCTTGCCTTAGAATCAATAGAAACCATAAAGAGGCTTAATCTTTTCAGGTGCTTGCCACTGATTGCCCATTACACAATAATAACACACCTTGAATCCCATGGAGCATGAGAGAGAGAAACAGTCACATCATCCACAAAGCAGTCACACAGTAAATCTATAGGTTTACAACTGAACAGATGGTGTCAGCGGTGGCGCTAGGCCTTTATGAGGGGTGTTAGCTAACGTGGAGAGAGACATTCCACCAGAAACAGTGGGATATCAGGGGATACAGTTTATCGCCTCGTGGAATGAGACACTGCTGGTGTCTCTTTTTGTAGTCCGTGGTCTCCAGCCTTCTGGTATGCAGCTTTAGCTTATAGAAGTTCTATAAGACTCTTCTCGAAGGCAGAATAACAGCTGCTGCAGTAAACAACTCCAGTAGAGGACATAGGGATTATTGGCCTAACTTCTGCGATATGAAGTCAAATAAGCACATCCTCAAAACTGCACATCCTCAAAACCACTTGGAGACGGACAAAAGTTTGCCTTTCAGTCAACATCAATAAGCAGTTATGCCGTTTTTATTTGTCACATTCACAATGTCCTGTTGTAAGTCTTGAGTTGTTGGGCTGTGATAGTTGGTTCTCCAGAAAAGCCCCATTGGATTCCAGTGCTGTGGATGACTGGAGTCTGGCTGTTGACTATAAACTGAGCCAGCAGGACAGGTGGAGGATCTCGGAGTCCGGCAAGTCCAGGACTGGAACCAGGGCCACAGACGGACTGGAGTCTGCTAGAGAGCTCCTCAAACTTTCTTCAAGCCCTGGCAGTTAGAGGTGGGGAGGGAGATAAGGGGGTGAGGACAAAAAAAGAAGGAGGTGTTAGTCTCATGAGAACTTTGGCTGGAGTTGGACATTAGGCTCGCATACAGATGCCCCACTGGGACCATCCCAGCACAGAAGCTACACTTAACCCTTCGACCAGGGAACACGGGCCTATTTACAAATTATTGGCATTCCTAAATCCTTGGCAGATTGTAGCCCCCCCCCCCCCCCCCCAACTCCCTGCAGTGCGGACATATGGTCAGCAAGGACTGAGCTCTAAGCTACCCCTCCTGAACTCACACACATACAACCAAACACATACACAGAAGAGAGGGAGGGGGAAACCCTGCCATGCCCTTTTGGACAATTGAGCAGCTTGTTGGGGGGGGATCTAGTGCAATGGATCCTCTGCTCCCGTTGAGTTGGGATGTTAGGAAGCTGTGTTGGGACTACCTCTCAGCTTTACTGGAGCTGAGAGATGTTGTTAGTGTGTGAGTGGTGGGGTCGGACTACAGACGGGCAGCGGACATGTGAGAATTCATTGAGCATCTCAGCGCCTCGTCTTGATGACAGCCTGTCTGTTTAGGAGCGGCCCGCTGGGATGTTGACCATTCCCTCCTCTGCTCCGTGCACTAATTGGTCACAAGTGTTCCTGTCTTATGGTTGACTGTCCTGGCTTATTACTACTGACTTAAAGCACACTGGATGGGCCTGGGGTGTGGTCATAATAGAGTTACACATCTAATGCAATTAAATATTTTCCATTCACAGAATTTGTCCAATATGATGTATGTAAAATGTAATCCTTGACCACTTATCTTGACTGGACAAACAAAGTTTGACCAACTTCTACTCTAGTACAACTATGTGACATTGATGTGAACTTGTAGAGAGAGAGAAATCAGGACAAAAAGGTTATTCGAGCAATTGAGCACTATTCTCTTTCATTTGAAGCACCCGCAGCATGCCAAACATCCTTACAAAGAGCCCACACACCCTAATTAGCTAATACGCACTACAGCTTAAAATACCCCCACTGAACACAGGCCTTTTTTGGAGGGCATTAAAAGCCTAAATATGTGTTATCAGAGCATGTGGTGCACCCTGGGAAGCAGGATCCTCTGGAGGTGGCTAGCTGACAACTGAACGAGCTACAGAGATCACAGACAGGGGATGGTTTTATTAAGAGAAGAAACACGCCCTTCATCACACCTTGCGCACTAAGCCTGTTTTATGTCAGGATGTTTTAATCTTTGTACTAACAGATAGGAAATAATTGCGCTCTCTCTTTGAGGGTCTCTTTCTGTGTCTGTGTACACAGACATGCCTGCTCATGCATGAATGAGAGACACGAGGGGGGCGAAGGTGACTTGAGTGACTGGGCAATTTTGTGTTCTTTTGTCTTTGTGAGTCAAAAGCGTGTAAAGACAGACCAATCCCATATAAATGCTTCTGTAAAAATCACACAAAATGTATAGAACACTTCCCATCACACACCCACTCCCCTGCCCTGGGCTCTTAGCCCCCGTTCGGGCTACACGGGGAGCCTCATTGAGGGGCTCAGTGGACAGAGGATGTAAGATTCAAAGAGCCATCACATTAGCAATGGGATGGAACTAAACCATCTACCCAAGAGGACCAGCCATTATTCTGCTTACACAGCGAACACACAGGGAGCTAAAAAGGCTGCTGCTGAATCACTATGTTTTAAAAACCAAACCATTACTAATGCCCACAACACCCTTTTATGCTAAAACCAAGAGCCATTTCTGTTCGAACTGATTGATATATAAATATTGTGAGGCTAAGTGAAAAGAAGAGGAAATGGTGTTTCTGAGTGGAATGGTTAATGCCTGCTGGGCTTATGGGGCTTTTAAGCACTGGCCAAGGCCCAGAGCCAGTGGTTTTTAGTTGTGCTACACTGACTCCCATACTGGTCAAATTACCCGGTAAACGAGGTGGTAATTAGCAAGTGTTGGCTCATGAAAATTGTTCATTTAGTCCAAGAACAATGAACAATTATTACGAGGGGCTGTTAAGTGGAGCCACAGAGGATCATTACACTTCCTCACCTTTCCTAAAAGTAGCCCTTGTTATTCATTTTGTATAAACAACAAGTCGCCCGCCTTGTATGTGAGAGGGTTTGCTCGTAGGGATGAGCTCACAGAAAAAAATTACTTTACAACCTCTCAGTTCTAGGGATCATTGTATCTTCTTATAGCTTATTGTTTTTGGGCTCAAATCCTTATTGTTGTGTTTTTGAACAATCATTTATTATAATAACAGTTCAATTTTAAAAACAGACACACAGTTAACAGCAAGTAACATTGTCTTGGTTTTAGAAAAAGACAGATATGTTTTTTAGGAAAAGATGGAGACCAAAATAGAACTAAATTCATTAGATGGAAACAAACACAACTTCCTACAAATGCTAATGTTGCTCTTTGTTTGATCGGTGTGAAAATAAGCGACTAATTGCCATAAAGTTCACCATTTTGAAAGATGTCAATTTCAATATTGTTTTGGTTAAATATTAGAGGTACTTTTTTCTCTAGCATTTAGAAACAAAGAAATCAAAATGTATTAAATAAAAATTCTTACTGTACAAAATAATGGCTTTTTTTAATCCCAAGACCTTCATAAAGTCCTTCACCAAAAATGTGAGGTTTTATTGAGCATTGAGGTCCTATCTTTGAGAAAACCTCTCTATCGTAAGTAACAGGTTGAGACAAGATGTTTAAAGGTTTCATTTGGAGCATATGTCATGTCTATCAGCTGTGAATCTTAACGCAAGTAACCCAAGGGTGGGGTGGGGGGTTTGGGGGGGGGTGCAGTCACATTCTGCTCCAATGTTGTTGTCTGTCTGCTCGCTGACAGCAGCAGTTGTGAGGCTGTGACTGCTAGCGCCAGAGGTGTTACTTTTCTTCCTTTGACTTTTTGGATTCATCACCCGATGAGCATAGGCTGTGACCCATGAAAACGCCCATGGGTGAGCTCCCAGGGCTTGGCTGTGCGTGCAGGGTAAGGTAACAGATTCGAGCTCAATGATGAGTCAGTAAATGGTTTTAGGGGAGCCGTCTGTGCAAGCCATAATCAAAGAAACATACATTTCAAGGGTGAAGATTGAGGTTGATTTTGCTCCAGTAAACCAATGACCCAGTAACACCGTTAATGGTTTCTATAAAGAAAAACTAACATTCTTTCTATAGAGGCATCAATAGTAAATGTTGAGTTGTCCTAAATATATACACTAAGCATTTATTGCCATATCTACATCTATATCTTTCTGTATTTGACATTTGTATTTGATACATTTGAATAAGATTCCTCCTCAAGCCTCTTACGCTTCCATTGTGAATAATGAAAGAAGATATTAATGACATGCATCGTATATCATGAAACAGTGTTGAATAACAATTATATAATTAGGTTACAAAACAAATAGCAGTGTTCATCTGTCATGCATATCAACACGTTTTCCAAACGGATCAACCTTTTCCCCATTCATCACTGGTAACCATAATTTCCCGTCCTCAAGAAGATGAGTTATGTCAAAGCTAAAAATGACAGTAAGATGGCTGGTTTGGCACGGATTCAAAAATGTTAATTGACTGCTTCAGCGATGACTTGACAATTGAGCCTGTGTGATCGATGTGCTCGTCGCCCTTTTCCCTCCGAGAGAACATCTCTCAGGATAAAACAAATACCGTTCCACATTTGCCTTGCCGAGAACCTGGAATCCTGGGAGCCGGAGATGATGGCGTATAAAAGTGTAATGATGACAAAAGACTGTGCCAGCTGCTTGCGTTACTGTACACAGTGCAGACACAACAAATGACTTACAATAATTAAACACAGGAAGAAAGATTCCTCCTCTGGAGAGACTGCTTCCTAGAATATCTTATGGAGTTTACATAAACAATGTCAGCTCAAACTTTATACCAAAAGAGAGTGCAGAGAGACGGGCTGTCACTTTGTTTCTATTAATACAGTGATGTGGAGCTTAACTTGTGTCGCAACAGAATGACTTATTTATGATAAATCCTGTTAATGAGTGAACAATTTAAAGCGTATGTGTAGTGTCTTCTTGAGTGAGATACATCTCCAGTGACATACCTTCAACAATCTGCTGTGCCAGCGGGTGGTTGCCCTTGTAGAACACCCTGGCACACAGTGGCACCAGCTCAGCAGCCATCTTCTTCATGGCTTTCTTTAATGTAGCGCCAACTGCTTCTGTAACATCCTTTACACCGGTGACCTCCAGGTTATCGCCGGGCACAGCCAGGGAGAGTGAAAGTGAAGCGCTACATGCAGACATTACAGTGTGGCACTCTACGGATCCGCACGCCACCTTTGTAGTCATGTGACAGGACGTCCTTTGGGTGGGATCATCGTGTACTGCAGTTACATGAAGCTCCACAGCTGCACCCTTGGGTAAGGCCGGCACCACGACCACCAACAATGGCGCAGGTTTGATTTCATGCTCCCACATCAGGTCCTGAAATGCAGAAAGATGAAATTCAAATGAATTGGCTGGCAAATTATATACTGTGTTCTGCTACACACTACAATCAAATGAATGGCCCTCCTGCTGGGAAACATGCTGCGTTTTCTGACCACAAACACTGCTCCATCAACATAACACATTATTCTAAAGCAAGTCATAAAACTCTACCACACAGCACTAAGACAGGCTCTTTACTTGACAGACTGACAGGCTATCAATTAGCATGAGACTGGGAGGTGACCCTTGTAATGATAGTGTGTACAAACAATTCAGAAATAATCCATACTACTCGCAGCCACCGTAAACAAAATGCACAAATGCATTTACTTTGAGCTAACATGACAGGTCCTATCAGAGGTGACTTCTCACCTTTGTAAGAAGATCACTCACAACATATTATGGCAGTTTCACCACACGCATTTAGTTGAGATCTGCCTCAATTTTATCTATAGAGCCAAAATCTCTTTATTTGTTCTCCTCTGGACTGAGGGCCATTAGCAGTAACACAATGTATTGGAGCAGTGCTACAATGTGGCCCTCTAATAATACTTGGCTGTGGCTTCATCTGCTAATGGGAGAGAAATGAGTGTTTTATATAACCGTCATTTCAGTCGGAGTCGATAGGGCAAAAACACTTAACCCCCTTTCCAATTTGCTGGATCAATTTTCATCCACTTACACCCCACTTCGTAAGTGCAGAATAATAACAGGTTTCTTACATTTTATTTTGATATTCACTCACATACAGAAAAAGAAGAGCAGACGACGGCCACTTTGTCCCTTCAACAGACCAACCCGTCATGACCCAATCAGCCAGATTCACTGGAGCAGCACTTACCTTCAGATTAAACTTTAGCAAACGCTAAATTGTGTATCAACAGCTAACCTCTTGCCTTGAAAAGTGAAGAAAACATAAAAAAGTAAGTGTGTTGAATGAGTTTGCGTTCAAGGGTGGAGATTTATTTACTTTAAGAGAGGCTAGCTTGCAGTGATGAACAATCACAAGAGCAGAGAACAATAGCCGTGTCAGCGCGGACCTCTTAGCATGTCAGACAAAGTGACAGCACACATACAGGTCCTATGCTTTGATAAATGTTATATTAGCACTTCTGGCACAGGCTAGGTATTCCTCCTAGAGGGAACTGCTCCTGCGCTTGTCAATAGTGATTGAACATGGAGCAGAGAGTGGGAACTGGGGAGAGAAGTGACAGGACAGGGGGTCCTGCTCAGCCAGGCTTAAAGGCCACCCTGCAGGCCTCTGCTGCTGAGGTACTATACCCAACCGACCATTCACAAGGAGATCAGGGGACTTCAGTTCTGCAGCTCCAGCCTCTGGCAGGACTTTACTGTCACGGCACAGTTGCTGACTTTTTGTCCGAGCTGTCGGACGAGGTTACATCAGTCCCTTTTTGTTTCTTTATTAATGTATCCAGCAAAATGTAACATTATGAGGGAAGTTTGTTCAGCAGGTCTGTGGAACTAAATGTGCAAAAGGTGCAGTATTGAGTGTGTGTCTATGAATGTACACGTGTTGTACATTTGTGTGTGTGAGTCTCAGGCTTGACTGGTCAGAACTCCATTACCCTGCCAGAGGAGTGAGAGCGGAAAACAGGCTGACATCCCTACCTGACCAGACATCATTTATTAAATTAATCCAATAAAACACAGGCTTTGATATATTGTGGAGCTGAGTGCTAGAGTGGCAAGTTGGGAGGGCAGGCGGGTGGCAGAATGTGTGTGTGTGTGTGTGTGTGTGTGTGTGTGTGTGTGTGTGTGTGTGTGTGTGTGTGTGTGTGTGTGTGTGTGTGTGTGTGTGTGTGTGTGTGTGTGTGTGTGTGTGTGTGTGTGTGTGTGTGTGTGTGTGTGTGTGTGTGTGTGTGAAGGGGGCTCTGTTCCGCTCTACACCAGCCACTTAACACAATCCATCTCATTACTTCATCGCACTTCGGTTCCAGGGCATGCAGCCATTCCCCCAGTGCTCTCTCGCTCTGTAGGCAGCAGGTAAACGCATGAAGTCTGGATCTGCTGCGCTCAGCTCTCTACACTGATGGAGTGTGACCTGCCTCTCCTTATGTTTGTTTTCTTTCTCCCCACTTTCCTCCCTCTAACTTGCGTCCGTGTGCCTGGAGCGTGCGGTGGGTTGGAGGGCCGAGAGGCGTGAAAGCCGAACGGTAAACACGGTAATAAGGAAGTGGTGTAGAGGCGGGGAACAGCGGGGAGCTGATGGGACTTCGCTGCTTAGCCAGTTCCCCTACATTTCCTGCCCAGCGGGACGCCTTCAGCATGTGGCTCTATGTCTCAGCACTTACTGTAGTGCTGTCAGTCTGCTATAATATCCCTTCCCATTCACTCCCTCATTCCCTCTCTTTTCTTAAGATTCCACGCTGAAGCCCGTCAGACTGTTTGTGTAAATGAAACACACAGGGCCATGTCAGTGGGGTGAGGAAAGGTTTAAGGGTATTAGGCCATTATAAAACCATGCCAAGCACTTTAAAAAGTACCAAGTAAGCAGGAGAGAAACAATGGAAAGAAGTATTTTACTTTGGTATGCAAGAAGGAAAACCATATTGCAAATGCAATACTATTAAATTGATCACAAATCAAAATATCAACAAACAGATCGTTTGATAAATAATCTTTCCCAAAATAGATAGGTGCTTATGAATATTGTGTGTGAAATGAAAGTACTGTTAGATAACAGAAAACCTGCTTCATAATTATTTTTCACTATATGACACGTTTCCAGAACCTGTTATTGTTACACAAAGGGACGTCTGTTTAACATTTATTGATTTATCACATCAACATCTCCCTGTTCATCAAACCCTTTTCACACACAGACAAACAGGCTCTTTGTGGTTTAATGCACCGTAAATACAATTTCACACATATAGCGACTCCAGTATGCTCCCAATTAACCCTGCAAGCTTCTCCATCCACCTGATTAGAGAAATTATCTGCGCACAAAAACAACATGGCCCTTTGGCTTCACAAACACGCCATGCCATGGTGTTTCTATCATTTCAATTCACATGTCTGGTGTCGGAAAATACACGTTACCATTTATCTATCTTACATGTCAACATGTAAAGCTACATACACAGGTTCTCAATCAGCATCCATAAAGAACAGATGCATTGTGGGGTAAACAAAGAAGGGATCAGAATGGGGAATGAAATCCCTAGTATCAATAATACAACCTATAGCAATTGACAATATACTGTCTTTAGGCACTTGATATAATTAAATAGTTATTTTTTTGGCAATGCCAATTTAAGATTACGAATTAGGTATAACTTTCCCATTTTATTTAAATGTTAAATGTAATTGATTGTTCAGTTCAGTTTTATAAACCAGAATGCCAAAAGTAAAAACACACATTATAGATATTTTGCAACGAACTGACTGTGGAGCATAATGGGAGGATTTGGTTGGTTAATGTCCCTGTTTAACATAATGATCTTGTCTGTCCTCTTTTCTTTGATCTATTTCTGTGAACACACTTTATAGCTTTTGCTTTAAATAAATCTTAGACACTAACTTAAAGAGCTACCACAGTGCAAATTTAAATTATTCTTGCAAATTCCAGCTGGTGGAGTTATCGCTGTTGTCTGTGGGAGTCGTGTTATCAGCGTTTGACCTGAGTTAACCATTCTAATTACAGTCAGTTCAAATGAGCACCGGTGCTTTGTATAATCCCCACCCCAGGGAGAGAGCATTTCACCTAGTTTAGGATGAAACAGTTTCCCCCACCACAGCCGCTCTGCCTATCTTCCCTTGAAGTGGAAGAGAGGAGAAAGTGTGAGAGCCAAGCTGGGAAGTCACACGAAGATGATCTGCCTCACAGGCAAAGAAAGAGCATGAGGTCAGTAACCCACCACCTCAGCCAGATCTATTCTTAAGGGGAGAACTCACCTGTTTACAGATGGAGCTGTCAATTAGAGCTGCTTCATCTTAGAATCAGTTGAAAATAAAACATGGTCTCCTGTTGGCAGTCCTGGGTCAGCAAAAGTGACATGGAAGCACAACAGATGGATGATGTTGTCCATCTTCAGTGACCTCTGACCTGAGACTAGTCTTGTGACCTCCCTAAGATTTGCCCTTGGTTAGCCTTGTTAAATGAACAACCCAATATGCATGCTAAATTGCGGGTACGCTGTCAATGCTTTCAAGATTTTTAATCCACAGTGAGTTACAATATGTCAAATAAATGCACAAATCGACGGCAGCTCTCGACTGAGATAAGCTTAAATATATGTATTTGAATTCAGAAAGTATCACTTGATGCTTTGAGAATATTTGCTGGTCTTCAATAACACATTTATAGCTGAAAATATGCTATACTTTTCTGGAATTGACACAAAGTTGACATCCTCTCCCCAGTCTTTAACACCTCTCACCACTGAGCAGAGCCACATGTTGGAGGTGGGCTCCTGCCTCTCCCTTAGGCCCTATTCCCATGGCGACACAGATTATTGTAGGAGGAGAAGGGCTGCCAGGGGAGGCTGGTGCCCCTATTAGACGTATGGAGCAGGGGTTGTAAGCCGGGGCGGTGGGATGGAGGAAAGGATGGAGGGAGGTGGCAGGAAAGGGGGGTGGATGGGGGGGGATAAGCTGCTCTGAGAGTTGAACGGAGCTCCAAAATGGTGTGTGGGGGCAAAGGATTAGGGAAGCTCTGAGGAAGACATCTGCTTCTGTGCCAAGCTCGGCATTATCAAAGACACCAGCGTTTCCCACATCATCAACTTTTCATGAGCGCACTCACTGGTAAATATCAGTCGCGGCGGCTTGTGTCTCAAGGGGGCAGAGAGGGGCGAGGAACTTTCCCTTATTTCACAACTATAAAACACAATTCTGAAAGGCTCTACTGAAAAACTTCGATACCATATGAACTTTCTCTCATTTGACTTATTCATCCACTGTCTTTTAATCCATTAAACATGTTTTCATTCTATGTGGGAGCAGTATCGTATTATAAGTATGATCAATATTTCCTCTGCATCTATAATAAAACAGACAGTCATTGCTTTTTCTTTTTAACCACTGGTATATATTTCATAAACAAAAGCTTCAGTGCACATGAACTGACCTTCTCTTCTTCTGTGGTCCTCAGCATGCTCTCCCAGGCGGCCCTGATGATGGGGATGTCTTGGTGTTTTGTGGTGTAGCAGTGGGCCTGGACAACATGAGCTAGAGTCAGGCTGCTGATCACAGCCTCCAGAACCTTCTCCACGTAGCTGAAGGACAAACGGGCCTGCGTCCTGGTGCCAGCCTTTACCAGCTGCATGGTACAGGGGACCAGAGCAATTTGGCCTGCGCAGAAAACAGACTCATCGACCTGGAGAAAGAGAAGAAAAACACAGCAGTGCGGGTTTATTATGGTGGCACTAGACAAAAGTTAATACAATATATCCTGAGTAGAACATGACTGACTGCACCAAATGTCATATCAATCAATTCAGCATAGTGTTTTGAGATATTTCACTCAAAACAACAAACGTGAAACTCATGGTGGCGCTACAGAAAAGGTCCGGGGTGACTAAAGTAATTACAATTCATCCTCTGGGGACTAAAATGTATCTGCAAAATTACACAGCAATCTACTCAAATTGATAATAAATCGTTTTTTTATGGTGTAGCCAGTCTATACTCAAATGCTTTATTTATATCACACATTCACATAAGTTCATACAAGGGCTAAAGACTTTAATTGAGCTTATTATGCTTGACACTTCATTAGAGCCTTAAAGGGAACTTTTGTGATGAGTAACGCTAAAAAAAATAATACAATCTTATTGGCAATTGAAAACGTTGCCCCTGCCCTGTACTTACTGTATGTATGAAAATACATGTATGTATGTTTGTTTGTTACCCCACCCTAGTAGTTATTGTGGAAACCTTGGCCTTGTCAAAAGAATATTTAATTAGCCAATTGTGAACACATCTATTCAACCAGAAAACTAGATTTAAAAGTCACCCAACATCAAAACAAGTACAATTTTAATCTATGAGGTGCTATAATCAAATTAACATTAATTATAAGCGTTTGTTTGTTTTAGTAGCACTGCATTAATTAACAAGTTTCGTCAGCTTCTTATCACCAACTAATTCTCGTTTCACAAGCAGGTACACTGTGAAAAGCCTGTCAATGCCTCTCGTTGCACAGGTGTTATTTATGAGCATATTAACAAAGTGATAATAAGCTCTATTTTCAGTTAAATACCTCTGTTAGAATCAAGCTCCTTCAAAAATCTATCTGTTTAATGCAACGAGATGAGTAGGGATGAGGAATGGCGTTAAGGGAGGTCAGGCCTTTAGAGACCCTGTAGCTCACCAGTGTTTGAGGTTGGATGGCATTAGCGCCGGACACTATAGCTGCTGGTCAATGCAAATAGCTGTTGGTGACATGGTGATAATTGCTGGCCTATGCAGGGCCCTTGAGCACATGCAGATCTCCAGGGAGGATCAAGAAGGCCTGAATCAATGGATACATGGCCCCTGACATGGTCCTTCACTGATTAGCAAAGACACAGCCAGGGGGATCATGTTCCACAGTGAGATTACTAGAGTCGAGCAGATATAATACTTAAGACTTAGCACCCTCTCAGCTGAACTTCCTCTCCAGTTCATTTAAAACAAGCCCTTTGTTTTATTGTTTGAGGCCTACACAGATAAGCCGTGACAGAACTTGTTCAAAGGAGGAATACTGAAAACGGAATATGTTGCCTTTACTGGATTGGTATACACGCAGAACAAGATGCTAGCCGCACAACTGTTTAGCTAGAGGGCAAACATGGTCATGGCTATTTCCATAATCAGATGGGTTTGCCATGATCCCCAGCTCCTGGGTTCACTTGTCAACTTTGATGAATTGTCAGCTTCCATCTCTGCTGCTCCAAATTACTGGGACAGTGCGAGAGACAAGAGTCGGAGGGAAGGCGAGCGCGAGTGAGTTAGGGGGAAGAAAGGGAGGAGATAAGGCCCTCGCTGCTTTCAACGAGTTGGATGAATCACCGGATCATTTACCTGCAAGCACAATCTGCCCGAGCGCCTGCATAACTATGTCCGCCTAACATAAAAGCCAAATTCCCACACATCAACAACAAATTGTCATTGGCATTTCATTTATGAGCCATCAAATGCCATCATATCCACTCCAACAAAGTAGGGCTCCATCAGGTTGGACGGGTGGCCAGAATATCTTAACAAGCTTGTCCCCATGAAAAGAGCTCGCTCCACTTTGAATTCATAAAGACCGGCAACCATTTGTCAATTTGAATATCAAAAGGGGCTAGCATGGGGCCCCTTGACTGTTAAAGGCAGACTCCCATAGCTTCTACCAAGCAGGTGTGTGATGATCAATTATTAAGGATCCCGCTCTGGTTACTCTTAGTGGGAGGTGGAATTGGGGATTTGGGGGTTTGTGGAGGTGGGGGCAAATATTTCTGTGGTGAACCTGGGAGACAGTGGAGAAGGGAGAGCGAATACTATTTACATAAAATTAACAGTTCAAAAGAACGAGTTCACACACCAATCAAACTTGTTAATTGACTGTCAATGGTGTGCCCCTGAATATACAACACAACTACATTATTCATCTTAGGCCTTGACAGGGAAGACAGTCCAATTTGCATGGGCGTTCTAAACGTGATCAACAACCACAATGCCACATGCATTTTTAATAGGACAGAGATGGGTTCCTTTAATATTCATAAGGGTCAAACAATTGCATATGACATTAAACTTTCTATAACAAGGTAAGTCTTTTTCAAAAGCTAGCAGTTTAAATGGCCCACAGAGAAAAGGGTGAATCAATACTACATGTTCATATTGGTTTATTTCTGTTCTACTGCTGTTTAATAATATTGAATATCTCCTGTCACAACTTAAAGGTTTTAGGAAATGTCACACACAAAAAAAAAAGAAATATGACTTTTAATATATTTTAGATGTATTTCATAATGAACATTCAGTGCCGAAGGTTGGGCACTTTAGACACAAGTATTCACAGTGAATATCAAAGCAGTATTTCATTTTCACTACTTGTATTTAGTAAGAAAATCAAGATGCATTCAGTCAAGTAGTCACGTTTTGATTAAGAAATGCATACAATATCACCATATCTCTTTTTAACATGTCTTTACAGTAAAAACGGACAACGACGCAGTTTTTCCTGCTTATAATGAACCAAGCATTTTTGTTGTCAAGCCTTATCAACCTTTATTTAATGTCTAAGATGCCATCACTTTTCTAATTGACCCAATGACATGTCAAAAGGTCACCCTCACCAAAAACACCCTCTCTCTCTCCGTGTGAGCTGCAGACAGTAACATATATGTAAATGTCCTCAGGAAGCGCCTGCCTGTGTCCGCTCCCAACCCTTAACGGTGTCTTGTTTCAGGCTGGTGTGTCTGAGGTGTTTCTAATTGCAGTTTTTTTGTCAAAGAGCTTCCAGAGATGACCAGACGGTGCGAGACTATATTCACATTGGTGTTGGAGCCCTCTGGGCCCCCATCGAGTTGAGGACGTCTCCGAGTGTCATTAGCAAAGCTTTGGGACGGTATGGATGAACTGGGCTGGCCAGGATAAAATGACCTGGTATTGACGAACAGTCGGGTTTTTCTGCCTGCTTCCAAGGACAGAGAGAGGTGGAAAATGGCTCCAGCGCTCCTATCAGATATGCTAATGGTCACATTTCTCCCCATTGAGACCTCATGCATAATTTAACCAGTAAAATGATAATACAAAATGTGTAAAATAGGTTAGATTAATATGGTGTAACTTTTCCCCTATGCAAGGACACGTTATCAAGCTAAGAGGTTAATGGCACACACAGTATCAGCAACCGAATAGGTAATTAAATGCAACATTTAATACATATTTTTGACATGTCCTTTCAGGGAGATGTTGAGCGTTGTTTACAGCTTACCCATCCGTGTAATAAGAGTGCATCTTCAGAGCACCAGGTTTGTTTGTACTCAAGAGCTAAAACTTTAAAAATATGTTTTTTTAAAGTTGCATGCCTTAATTTAAATGGTGTGTTCCATTCATACTTAATTTGATTTACACACTACAATTCATTTTAAATGGGACACTGGGTTGTTCCATAACGGTTTACTTAAATCCCTCATGGAACATTCCTTATATATGTGACAAATTCCAAATTTCTAACTTCATATTTTTCACTTCAGTAATTTTCTTCTCTTCTTGAATATTTTAGGGTTGGCAAATGGCTCGAAATGTGGGGATCAAAAACTGAGGGTTGAAGTTTTGTCAAATGTATTTAAGTGCATATATTATTTCTTCTTTTTGGCGGGGATTTGATATGCAACGACTGTTTAATCCTTGTGTGGTGGATGGCAGTTTGTCAGGGATGTGTGCAGTGATTTCATCTTGAACTGGCTTCAAGTCTGTGGGGCTCTTTCAGCATTAGTGCATTCAAAGCAGATCACGTCTGGGAGTGGGAAATGATAAGAGATGGGCTCATGTTGTGCTGCGCCCTGAGGAAATCCTGCCTCTTCTGACACCTCATTTCTACAAATACAAACCTTTCAGGAGAACCACGACCCTGCTTCTACAGAATCTCTCCCCATGTTAGGCTTCTCATTTAAGGCTTCATGGGAAGGGGGAGGGACATATTTGCCTTTTTATATTCTCTCCCCTTCTTTTTTCTACTATCTCTATTTTTTCTTCCTGTTTGTGCTCCAGTTTGAGCCTAACCCCTGTATGCTCAACTGTCACACAAAATCAGTGTTACTTAAACGGCGACATAAATAGCAGTATGAAGTGCACAAAGAGCGGCAAGTACAGGGCCCTTCTGAATGCATTCTCTCAGGTCTACAATTGCACATTTATTCAGAAAACTAACCATAAGCATATGTTCAGAACACAAGGTGACACATTTAGAAGTACATTAAAAATGACGCAACTATAAGGAGCCATTGTTTAGAAAAATGTGTGGTCAGTCTGAGCCAGGGACACTGGCCTTTCCCCAACCCCCACCTTCTCTAAGCTTATGTGTATTTTCCTGTTGTGCCTGTTTGTCTGCCCTCGACATGCCCGCTCCACTGAAGCGTGTGGAAGAGTAACACTGTCATGTCAGCTTTGGTCAACTTTATGGTGGTCAGGAGCTGCCGCTCAGTGCTATAACCAAGGTCAGAGGAGCCTGACTGCTGGATGCTCAGGGAGACACATCTGAATGCCAACAGGCATGAATAAACAAATAATAAATAAATCTTTCCACTGCCACAAAAATATATTTTCAACCAAAAAATGATCACATTTTGAAGCTAAATGGTATTCTGTCTGTATTTTGTTCCTGTGTAGATTTACATTAGC